CATTGGTACGGCCGGTATCGCTTCCTCGCAGGTCAAGACGAACATTTCCGTGCTCAGATAACGGGGATGATGACATCATGTGTTGGGCACTTGTGTGTTTAAGTCGGATTACGACAAGGAAGCGCGCTGTCGGTGGCGGTAGCCGATGCCAGGGTCTGTTGGGTCGCCCGATCAGAACGCTCCAGGGTCTGTTGCGTCGCACCATCAGAACGCTCAAGAGTCTGTTGCATTGCAACATCAGAGCGCCCCAGGGTCTGTTGCAGTCGTCCCATCAGAACGCTTCAGGGTCTGTTGCGTCGCACCATCAGAACGCTCCAGGGTCTGTTGCATTGTAGCATCAGAACACCCAGGGCTGTTGCATCGTCCCATCAGAACGCTCCAGGGTCTGCTGGGTCGCAGCATCAGAACACTCCAGGGTCTGTTGGATCGCGCCATCAGAACGCTCCAGGGTCTGTTGAATCGCGCCATCAGAACGCTCCAGGGTCTGTTGAATCGCGTCATCAGAACGCTCCGAGGTCTGTTGGATCGCGCCATCAGAACGCTCCAGGGTCTGTTGCGTTGCGCCATCAGAACGCTCCAGGGTCTTTTGGGTCGCGCCATCAGAACGCTCCAGGGTCTGTTGGGTCGCGCCATCAGAACGCTCCAGGGTCTGTTGGATCGCGCCATCAGAACGCTCCAGGGTCTGTTGGGTCGCGCCATCAGAACGCTCCAGGATCTGTTGGACCGCGCCATCAGAACGCTCCAGGGTCTGTTGGGTCGCGCCATCAGAACGCCCCAGGGTCTGTTGCGTAGCGTCACCAGAACGCTGCGGCGGCTCCCAGGCTCAGCGACGACGTCACGCGTCCGGCGACGACCGGCGTCACGTGATGCTGCTGTCTGAGCAGGCCAATCATCACTCGTGCTGGCCCGATTGGGAGCCGATAAGCGCCGGTGACCCGGCGGCGCGAGCGGGGCGGGCTCAGTGCTGCCGGTGAAGCCCGCTGACGTCGGTGGGACGCGGGACGAGCAACGCCGGGCCTGCGTCACTGGAGACGAGACGATCCCATCTGCCCGTGAGCCCGCACCATCACCCCGCTCTCCGTCACCGCTGAGGGGCGTCACCCGAGTCGACCGCGCGCTGTCCGGTCCGCTGGGGAGGGCTGCCCGCGTCTCCTGCCACAGCCTGCACTGCAGGCCGGCCTGCCTCGGGGTCTTTCCTCCACGGTTCGCGCGGCTGCTGCGCAGCTGCGCCGTCCGTGCCGCCGCCGGCCGCCATGGTGCTGGTGCGGTGCGGTCGGGTGTCGGGACGCCGGCCTGCTCTGCTGAGGATCCAAAGCTGGAGCGACGTTCACTACGATTGCCCAGATCTCTCACACGGTAATGTGCGCAGGAAAGTGGCTCTCCTGGAGGGAGGCCAGGCGCTGGTGAAGGGAGGCCAGGCGCTGCTAGAGCGAAGCCAGGCGCTCCTGGAGGGAAGTCAGGCGCTCCTGAAGGGGAGTCGGGCGCTTCTAGAGGGCGGACAAGCTCTCCTGGAAGCCGGCGAAGCGCTGCCGAGGTTAGGCGAGCAGCTCCAGGAGGGGGATCGGCCTCTTCAGACGGAAGATGTCACTGGGCAGGTGAGCACGTGGTGGCTCTGTCGTCTCTGAGGACAGGAACCACTTGGAGCGTGAATGGCGAGGTGGGATGCGCTTGGGAGCCCATGTGCTGTTGGAGCAATGACACGATGTTGCCAGCTGTCCTGAGCTGGCTGGAGAGTTGATGGCGGTTCTCGCATGTTCTCTGAGAGGTCCAGGTGAACAGTTCCAGCCTGTCCTTTCACACAGTGTAACATTCGACCGACCGCCATGCCGTTAGACCCGACATCAGCTCACTCCCAATAGCCAGGCAGAGCCTCGTGCCTTCCTTGCTCATTCACCCAGAGAAAGGGGAAAAACAATGCCGAAGCCTGAAGTATTGCTGATGGCCTATTGCGTCTCGATGTGTTGCTCTGGCGTCTTTTCGAAACACATGCTGCTGAGCCTTCTGAATGTGAAAGGCATTAGCTCCCTGCCACGTTAACAGCTTCGAGCGCCGTGCACGCGGGCCGTTACACACTGCGACGATAAGGAAAAGCGGAACAATGATACATCACTGACGGGGAAGGGTGGCAATCTGAATCGATCTTCTTGAAGGCCCTGCTCCCCTGCCCGGGGTCGTTTCTCCGCTCATTGTTGTTGGTTTATGGAGGCGGCGCCGTGGGACCCGTGATTGCTCGCGCCGTCAGCCGAGAACAAGGCACTCCCACGGAACAGCGGCATAACGCCACGCCTCGCTGATTGTAAAATTGGACGATCACCGGCTGTCAGTGCGTGAACTGGAACCATCACCAGCCGCGATCACAGCGCCGATGTACCAGCCCCCCGCGCTCTTCTGATCTCACGCTATTTTTGTGTTCATCTCAGTTTTGGCGTCATCCCTTTCTATTTCTCGGCGTCTTTATTGTGTCCTTGATCTCCGGCGTTTGCCCTCGATAACCCTCTGTTTCTTGCACAGCCTAGCTCCTCATTCTCTTCCTGCTTCTCCTGCTCCCTCCCCACTCTCCGACGGCTAGTCCGGGCGCGCAGGATCAGGCCACCGCAGACGTCGGCTGCTTCGGCTGGCGCCCGACGGCGGCGCCACCAGCGCTCGCCGCTGGCCGGGCGGTCAGGGTTGCGGGACGGGCTGAGAGGGGCATAACGGCCGCATCCGACTCCGGCGCGCCTTGACGTTTTGAGTCAGGGTCGACCGACGTTCACGAACAAATGCCGTTTTCTTGTTAGGTGTTTTGGTGTAAGTCAGAAATGTCAGAGAAGAAATACGGGGAGCAGAGGAGACCGTTTGTCAGGGTGAAGACGACCTGCAACACCTTATGCACACACGATAGATGCACAGGAACGGTAGTGATCGCTACAAACTGACGTAAAATAACGGAACTACGCCGCTATTTTTATGACAGAATGTTGAGGGCCAGCGGGATGGGCGACCCTATGGTGAATGCAATGCACCTCGGATCCAAAGACCCAAGCCAGTCCGGATCCCCAGATCCGATCCAGTTTGGCTTGGCAGACCCGAGTTTGGATCTGTATCGTTGCACCGTGGCGTGACGGGACCGGCCGGTCCGGCTGCGGTGAGAGCCGGGCGCTCTGAGTGGCCGTGTTCGGCGTTCGCTGTGCCGACAGTTACACGCACGCCAGGTGGCTGCCCACTCACGGTGGGATGGTTCGTGACTTGATGCACGGGCAGATCCAACGGCTGGGTGCCGCGCCAGGATGAGACCTCAAGGCATAAGGAAAGGCTCAGTTTTCGCCTTAGGATTGAGTGTCATATTTATTTATTTTTTTATTTTTTTGGTTAACTGGGGAAGATAACCCCCGCACCTCTGTACTGGCGTTCGATCGGGTTCCCATTTGATGATCACCGATGTCGGCAGAAGCCGACTTGTCCAGCCTACAACATAGCGGGTGGGTGCGGATGCCACAGTTGTCGTTGTAAGCGCAAGATGCTGCCGGTCTCGGCGCTCGCCGTTGCGTAACGGCCTGCGCCCACGCGGGTCAGCTCCAGCCGCGGACGCCCTCGGATGGTGGTGTGGTGTCCCTCGCCATCGATAGATTCGCCAGATGTCGTCTCGGTCGCGGGCCGGAGCTAAGCTGAAAGCGAGGCCAATTCCATGAAATGAGTCCCATGGTCGCCACGCTACGGTGTCATCGCCTGAATAACTAAGGCCACCTTTTGGGCCTGGCGCTCGCTATTCTGTATGTTAGCCCTGGAGGGCTGTTTGGAATGATGATTGCATCAGAGCTCCTGCGGACAGGCATCGATTTTGCGGGCGAAGTAATATAATGTGAGCGATGCAGGCAGGCAAGGTTTACTTATGTCTAAACCGCGCTGCACTGGACAGCTCCTCTACCTGCCATGGATCGCGAACCAGCCTCCTATTCCGTTTGTCTTACGAAAGCAAATTTCTGCGCGATATCACGTCCACCGTCGCGGCGTTGTCCTCCGCCGTCCAACCCGCCTGATTAAAAGGTCTGAAGTCGGCTTTCTGCGGCGATGACCTTGGCCGGACCCGAGGTTTCTCTGGCTGTGCAGCGCCGCCCGGGCGGTTGACCCTCGACCCGGCCCGCCGCGAGCGCGGTCCGGCACGCGGCCGGGTCAGGGGTCAGCCGCCGCGGCCCGGCAACTGAAGGGCCGCCAGCGATTGGCCCGGTGAATGAGTCAGGCGATCACGCCGACTCGACACGCTCGTTGATGGTGCGCCGCGCGGGGAGGGGATGGTTCCGACGGGACTGGCAGCAGATTATGGATCGTGATTTGAGCAGCAAAGGCGTAAAGGCTGAATGGAAGTGAAATTGGCCGTGTGGAAATGCATGCGGATTGGCGCAGAAGCGAACCCCGGAGGGAGGCCGTGATCCCTGCCACGATGGTGGATAACACCCGAATTTCACTAGTTTCGCCTTTCCTCCAAAGCCATTTATTTGCCTTCGGCTTCCCTCTCTCCCCAATATCCGTTGTTAGATTCGCCCCTGGTTCGCCGAGACCTCTAAGAAGGGGTCACATCTTGGTCGTCTTACGGTGCGTCGCAGATGTTTCCCTCGTCACGGTACATCGCCGCGCCTCTGCCGCCGTACTTACCGCTAGAATCAGCGCCGGCACGGCGAGGGAAGGACGAGCAGTGTTGATGATGCCCGGTGTTGTGGCCGGTAATCCGCATTGTCCCTGCGAGTGGGAGCTGCCGGCTGCGTCAGCAGGTGCTCCTAATGGGGCCGTTGGCCTGGATGGGATTCACGGTGACCTCGGAGCGGTCTCGGATAATGAGTCGGTGAGGTGAGCTCACCGGTCACCACTAGCGCAGGCTCCGGCCCGGACGCTTCCTCCCGCATCAGCCCCGACAGGAAATACTGGTTTCTTTCAAGTGTCTCGATTTCTCTTGCCGATGTTCTCCGGTGAAAAGATCGTTCTCGGAAGGAGACCCATCCGCTCAGGCCCGTGCCCCTGTGTTGCAGCGATGGCAACTTTCTGGAGAGGACTTCCGTCGGCCGTGGTGGGTCAGGTCACGGCACCCGTCATCACGGAGGGCCCGCACAAGCTCATCATCCAGGACGCGAACGAGGTCGTCCCTGCCGCGCCTCATCCGGTCATCGCCGAGGCGACGAGCCCCGGCCTGCCGGAGGATCCTCCCGATGACGGCGGTGGGGACCCGTACAGGGCCATCAGTGACGTCCTGTCTGCCCTGCGGCAGCTGTCATCTCCGGACTCGGCCATCGAGACCGAGTACGCCGGCGACGGCGAGATCGGCGCCGGCCACGAGGAGGCGCCCACTGAGCAGGCAGAGCCATCTGTGGTGAGTAGCAAGAAGCTTTGGTGCGGAGGGAGGTCGATACGTTATCTTTTGAACAACGGGCATCATGTTGCTGCTTTGAATCAGGGTTACATTTAATCGAGGGGGAGGATGACTTCCATTGCGCAGAAACAAAGCGGGCCGGTTGGGCTGAGCTCTCATTATTTTCCAGGTGAGTGAAGACACCACTGGTGGCCAGCATAAGTTTATGGAGAACGTTGTTAGAATTCAGCTAGTGTTATCTAGAGCGGAAAGTCTAGAACTGGCATGTGGGAAAACGCATGCTTCCTTGTCATTGACAGCTAACACGATACTTATTTCATTTCGTTTTTCTTTTGCATTCTGCTGTTGGGCATACAGTGGCCCACAACTCAGTACATGTATACCTATGGATGTCCGTGAAGTTAGCGATTTATTGGACATTACCTATGGGTGCTGGGTATGGGAAGGTATGACGGCTTCGATTGTCAGCTCTGGGTCTGGGCTGCAGTGCCCCACAACTCAGTATATGTATACCTATGGGTGCTGGGTATGGGAAGGTGTGACGGCTTCGATTGGCAGCTCTGGGTCTGGGCACATACCATCTGAGACGACCTGCGCCTTTGGATGCTCTGAAAAGAACGCCGTATGGTGAACGGCCGCGCTACAACGGAAGCATCAGATGTACCCGTAGGAGATCGTGCGTGACTGGAAACGAGTATGGCTCGAGGCCGAGGTCTGCCAGCGTCTGCTGCGGCCAGATCCTAGTCTGGTGGGCGCGCAAGGGCGTAAGATTTGGCGGGAAGGAGATGCCAGAGTGGACGCTGGTGCAGTGCGTGCATAGGTACATGCGGAACGTGCTGCGGTTTGTAGCCAGATGCCCGAATGGGTGATCAGCTTATTACGACTTATCTCCGGCTTATCTCAAAACACAGTCAAAGAGCAACCGCCTCAGTATATTTTCACAGCACCGTTCTGATATGCTGCGGCAAAGTACTGATTTAGGCTAACGCTGGCGCCACCGTCAACCGCGCCGGACGCGTTCACGTGCGCAGCGCCTCTGGTGGCGGACGGTGGAACCAGTGGTGTCAATTTTCTCTCCGCCGACGGTGCTGCGCACTCGCGCGAGGAGCGCAGACAGCGATGCTTCATTCGCCGCGCTGCAGCAGCTGGTTTGCAGATAAAGACCGGAATTCCCTCATTCATCCATGCACCAGGCCCGAATGGTGCGCTTATGTAGGCATTAGCCGGCGGAAATGTTGCCTTTTGCCTTTTGCATGAGGTCAAGCTGTGAACATACGTCCTGGGGGGCTCTCCGTTGGAGGCATCAACAAGACCAGCAAGCCGTCTACAGCCAAATGAGGCACGGATCGGGAGTGTCAAGCTTCCGCCACTGGACGCTGACATAAGTCGCACGTCCGTGAGAAGTTGTCATGATGAGACGGCCTGCGTATGAACTGATTCCTGCATTTGTCGCCAAGACACCCACATGGTCCCAGACTGAGAATTGCATGCAATTCACCAAGAACCCACTCGTGAGTATCCTCCGTAATGCGTAACATGAACCAATCGTTACGAAGTGAGGAGGCAAATAACCCGGGCCGGTGTATTAGGTTTATGTAACCGTGTTGAATGAGTCACTTCCGAGCTTATCAATATGACGCAATCAATGACTCATGTGTAACATCATCGCAACCGGTCATTTAAGCTGGAGAAGGGAGTGGACAATCACTTTACAAGAAGATGTGGCAGGCGCAGACGTTAACAGCGAAGGAGGGGCGGGGTCGGAAGGTAAGGGTGTCGCCCTGTAAAGATCGGGTGCTGAAGTGTGTGGAGCACGATGCCCCCCGGGCTGCGGTCCGCTCCGGGCCGTTTACCGTCCGTGTCCCTTCCGCCTGGGACTCAATAATTGCCCCTTGAGCCGGGAGGTGGGCAGGTTACGACAGGACCATCAACGGCCCAGGGTCATCAAGGAGCTTTGAGACCACCAGGAACCACTTACGTCGAAGGGCCGAAATGGCGACAATGCTCGAGAAGAGCAGGGATCTAAAGATGTCGCGAGCAAGTCAATTTGGTCCTTATTGGTCGGGAGTCTCAAAAGGCTCGACCTGTCTGATCAGTTGCATGTTAGCAAAACCATTTGTACGCTTTGTGACTCCAACTGAGGTTAATTCGAGTGGTCACTTTTGCTGAAAACTCATGCATTTGCCAGGTCGAAGGTTGCGAGGCAACTCACTCGCAGCTGGCACTGCCTTTCTTCTCCACGCCATCTCCTTCATCCATGAATTAACAATGGCTATTGGAAAACGTCGTCCCTTTACCAATTGGTTTGGTCCCAGAAGTCCCCATGGCGGTGCCTGACACATGTCACGTCACATTCCCAATCCATGGATGCAATGCAACCGCGTCATCCTTTCCATTTATCCTGGTATACTGCTTTGAAACGAAAGGTGGTCTGCCCCCTGAACAGGCCTGAGGCAATGGCCGGATGGAAGTTGCTAGAAGTTGCGTGGCATTCTAATCTTATTTGATCACGAAGGGTCTTGTTTGTTCAGGTTGCACAACGATCCGCACACTCCCTTCTGATTTACAATCAGCCCGTTGTGACGTCACATAATCGGCTCGTATCACCTGACAGCGGTAATTCTCTGAACCCAGCGAGGTAGCTCTGTGGCTGCCTGTCGGCTGACGTCAAATTCGGCGTCACCCTACCCCATCCAGCGCAGGTGGAGGCTGGCACGGCGGGCCGAACTGGACCATATACGTAAACATCGGCCGTCACGAGTCTGACGTCAAAGACCGGAAGCCGGCGCGCTGCGCCAGCCGCTTTCGAAATCATTCCGTTGCGCCGCCTGGTATCAACAGGCGGCCGGGGCGGTGCTGACGCGGCTCGGCCGGCCGCCGCGCGGGGGGGGGGGGGTGCGCCGGGACAAGCGGGATCGCGGGACTTGTCCCGGGAACACGGAACACGGGGGGAAGTGGTCGTTGGCGGAAGCAGTGAGATTACCCAAGTCGGAGCTGTTAGGACAAGGACGAAGGGACTCTCAAATTAAGAATGAGATTTTCTTCCCGACCTGCAAAACGTCGTAAAGTGCCGACCTGTCTGGAAGTGTGCAGTGCGTATAAATTACGCAGCGGCAAATGGCAGTAGAGGTGACCAAATATCACGGTTGACGACTGGTGATGACCACAAGGCGTGGAGGAGAAAAGCTTGCGCATCTGTTTATTTGTGTTGGTGTGCAAGCTCATCAAGTTTCGGTGTTGCTCTTCTGATCACCAGAGACGGCTTGGAGGGTCATCCCTCCGTGCAAATAAACCACTGAGTTCTAGGGCACTGCTCTGGTCGTGCTGTGTCCGCGCTTCGAAACGCGGTCACGGCTTATGGCGGAGAATGCATCCTGTCTTTGCATTCTATTACATCGCGCTTCTACGTCCCCCTCCTCTTTCTCAGTGAAACGCTAACAGCTCGACGCGTCGCCAGCTGTGATGCCTGCTGGCAAAGATCCCTTTTCGGCCCCATCTGTGACGGTAGCTAACTTTATTGTTGAACTACGCCCTTGCCGTCTTTAGAAACGTCTGTCCTGGTTGTTGTTTGCTCGCTGGTTCTGTCCTGATCTTCTTTACTCTGCATCCTCTGTCAGCTGCCGGAATCCATATCATATATCCGCCTCAGTTTTGGGATAGCGCTGAGCAATTAAGCGTGTATGCCATGCTGGCATCGTGGAGAGCCGACAAGCGACTTGAGAGGTACGTGGATTTGATGGCAGGATGGAGGATGTATATGCGATCTCATAGCAACGATCGTATCAGAGTAAGGGTCAGCGTCCTCCACTCAGCTGTCACGATTGCCTCAAGTAGCAAGGAATGCAACAGAGTTATATAATGCCAGCTGAAAGAAGTCATAAGGTTGCCATCCCATCCCCTGCGAAAAATAACAGTCCCCTACCTCGACCTCGGATCTGCACATTCGTGCAGCTCAGAAAGGGTAACGCGATGAAACAAACTGTATTGTCGTCAAACAAGTAACTCACTTATGGAACAAACATACTAACCATCTTTGAATTTGTCATCTTGCACATTGCTGATCTAAAACATGCGTATGTCTACACCCACTCGATTACTCCAAGACCCTGGATGTCCTGTACTTTACTTGGAATTAGCTATCTCCTTGTTTGCAGTTACCACTGTGTATAATGCCACGCAATTAAGTTGAATTGGACATCATTCCGCACATCAAACTGGGGGATAGCATATATCTTGGCGCGATGGACATCCATCTTGGGATAAGAAAAAATGTTCCGTCTGCATGGTCTATCAATAAAACACTCGTGATATTTGAAAATCCAGTTCGGTTGACAATCTTCTGAATAACGTAGATGACTATGTTCTCCGCAAATGTCAACTTAAGCTGTTCAAAAGTAGCAAATGCAGTTTCTAAACAAAACAGAGTCCTGTTTTCCTTATCAATCTTTCTTGCTTCAGATTCACGTAAAAATGTGATGTTTTCCACAGCTGATTTCACACATGTGTTCAATTTTTCACGGCAATCGATTCGGTAGCTCGTTGTTGGCAGTCGATGTCTGGCGTGGCTGCGTCGGTCCCTCCTGATTCATTACGTGCGTTTGGCGCGGGGCAGGCTTCCACCGGTGCACCGAGCTAATGAATACAACCTGAGCCGCTCTTGAAAGGAAACCATCACACGAAGTGAGTAGTGCTTCCAGCAAAACAGCGCGCCCTCTCGCACCGCCAACGGGACCAAAGAGCGGCTCAAACCACTTCAAAGGCCCGCTGGGTGGGTGGCCGGCTCTTTAATGTGGAGTGGTCACAACATTTTCCGGATGTGGGTCTCCCGTATTCTTGCCTCTGGTTGCACCGCAAACTGTAAATGGGAACCATATCAAAGCGATCTCTGAATTGAAAGCCTTTCGCGAAGGAAGTGAGGACCATCTTCGTAGCAACCTGCGAGCGTGTGAAGAGAACTTGGGCACGGCGTATGTACTGCACATATGTAGCTCCAAGACTGT